TATCTATCTATCTATCTATCTATCTATCTATCTATCTATCTATCTATATGTGTGTGTGTGTATATATATGTATATATATCTATATATATATACATATATATATATATGTACACATTATCTCCTCTGATAAAATGTAAACTCCTTGAGGGCAGAAACCTATTTTGTTTTTGTATCTCCAATACCTAGTGCCTAGCACAGAATAGGTATTTAATCAACGCTTGTTGATTTATTGATAGAGTGATTAAAACCAACGAGGTCTTTCCACAGGAAATTGAGTGAGGAAAACCCAGAAGAGAAAATATTGGTTGCAATCAGAAACCAGTAAGGTAGACTGAGTCAAGTCTTAGGACTCTCCCTGGTAGAAGAAAATTAATGTGTACATGTGTGGCAGGGTGGCAATGGGAGTGAGGAAGTGGTTCTCTGGTCTGTGGCACCATATCAAAACAGGAACAAATAAATCCAGAGTGTATCAATGAATCTCATTCTGGATGCAGTAAGGAAACCTTTCCCATCCTAAAATTCTGTCTCAGTTCATAATAAACAGAGGATATCTCCTAAGAATGATTTCATGAGCTCAATCTTAGGATTTCACTAGAGGTTTAGAAAGACAAGTCAAATCTCCAAAAGTCTCATGATGGAGAATGCTATCCACACCCAAAGAAAGAACTATGGAGTTTGAACGCAGATCGAAGCATACTATTGGCCATTTTTTACTTCTGTTTTGTTTCCTCTTTCTTCTGGATCCTCCTATTGGTTCTAATTCTTCCTTACAACATGACTAATGTGAAAATATGTTTAATAGGAATGTATATGTAAAACCTATATCAGATCGCATGCCATCTTGGAGAGGGAGGGAGAGAAAAATTTTAAACTCAAAAGCTTACAGAAGTGATTGTTGATAAATCAAAATAAATTACTAAATACTCAAAAAAAGACAAGATTAACAATCTGTTGTAATGATAGCTATCTCAAACACCTAGTTAAAATATCAAATAAAAGTCTATAGTTTTGGGTTGTTATTGGTGGGTTGTTTTTTTTTTTTTTTTAACTTTATACCTGTAATGATGTGGAGGCTGCACCAATCAGGAGTCCCAGAGACTGAGCCACCAGTGATGTCATTGTCCCCAAGGCTGCAAATAGGACAAATCTGAGAGCATCAGATGGCTGAGAAGTCATCCAGTATACGATACTGCAGTAGGCTACTGGAAACATGATCTGACAAAGAAAAGGCATTAATCAGTCATATGGAGAAGTTTTAGACATATAAGGTAATTAAAAACACAGTCCAAGCAACATGATTTAACATTACACTTCTATCCCTTATATATTGTGCTCTGTGGCAATGATGCTAATTAGCAGAATTCGTTGATCAGTAACATTCTATCAAATAATTTTTTTTTTTTGCTGCTTGGAAATTAGGAGACAACTCACACTTTCTGCTCAGACAGGAAATTAAGACAGGAAACAACACTCCAATGTGAAAGCACACTCTTTCTCATCCTGTCTTTTTCTCTAGAAAACCACAATCTAATGAGACTTAACAGTTTGCCACCCTTTTTCTGTAGAAAACATTTTCCTTCTCAAATAATATTATAATATTAATTTACCTGAAAGGGAACATCAGCCATGGTCTTGGCCAGATAATAGGCCTTTAGACTGTACCAATAATTCAGATGTTCTCTAAGAAAAACTCCCATCTCAAGAGGAACTGTAGAGAATATGAAAAAAAATTAGTAGTGAATACCATGTGACATGTAAAATATGACGGGCTTATCGTTTACGATCTCATTCTCTCCTATGACTCAGTATGGTCTATCGATGTTAATATAGAAAAAGCTGTTACAGTACATGGACTATTTTGTATCTTAAGTTTGTTGGGCTTAACTGGTTTAGAAAAAATTCACATCAAAAATGTAGCCCTAGTTTGAAAAAGATTACCAATAAATTGTTTTCCTCTTCAAAATATCTTATTTTTATTGATATCTTTAAAATGTTTTTAATCTCACATTGATTTCTAAATGCATACCCTTTCTCTGTCCCAATCTTATGGGACATCCTTTTTAATAACAATTTAAAAAAAGAGGCAATTTATCAAAACTAATCAACATAATGGCCATATCCAATAATACAACATTCCTTATTCTATTTCTGCAGTGAAAGGAGGGAGGTACATTTTTAAAACTTATCTGTGGGGCCATACTTTGTCATGATAATTACAGAACATTCAGTTTTGCAGTCCTGTCATTTTATTTTCTGTTAACATTGCCATATACACTGTACTTATTAGTTTCCTATTTCTATTAATTTCACTTGTCATAATTTCATTTCAATCTTATGATCCTTCTCTGAATTTTTTATATTCATTGTTTCTTATGGTGAAGTAATAATATTTCCTCACAAGTATGTACTATAACTTGTTTAGCTATTCTCTAATTGATAGGCATCTACTTTGTTTCCAATTCATAACTAGCACAAAAAGTGCTATTATGAATAGTTTTGTGTTGTATATATAGGATTTATCTTTCTGGATTTGATCTTCTTAGGCAACATGCAGAGAATGGTATCTTTACATTAAAAGTGTAGGGAAATATTAATCACTTTTTTAGCGGAATTTCAAATTGAGTTCCAGAATGTTTGAGTAAATTCATAATTCCACCAATGGTGTGTTAATGGATCAATTGTACCACAACCTCTCGATATTAGCTGTTTCCACTTTTTGTCATCTTTGCCAATTTGTTACATGGGAGGTAAAACCTCACAGGTGCTTTGATGTGCATTTCTTTTTATTATTAGTGATTTGGTAGTCTTTAATATGGCTATTAATAGTTTTCAGTTCTTTTCTTGAGAATTTTTTTTTATATCCTGTTACCACTAATCCAGAAAGGAATCATTTTTGGTCTTCTATATTTGTGTTAATTCTATATATTTATAAGTTGGATATAAAACCCTTATCAGAGATATTTGATGCAAATATATTTCCCCACCAGCAGGTTCTTTTCTTAACCTAACTTTGATTTTGTTAGTACAAAAGCTTTTCAACTGCACATAACAAAAATGATCTCTTCTATCTTTTGTGATCTCCTCTATTTCCCATTTGGTCATGAATTCTCTCCCAAGCTATAATTGCTAATAATCCCAAGCTAATTCCGTTATCTTTAGGACGTTACCTTTTATGTTCAAGTCAAATTGCTAAAATAGTTCATGATTACCTAAATGCATTTATCCCTTCCACATTGCAACATTCCCCATCACGGCTTTGATATGTCGTGGGTTATCATAGGAAATTAAATGGGAATTTTGGGGGAGTTTTGTGGAAACCGCAGATGACATATGAAGGCCAACAGATGACACAGATGATACTATGACCAAATACTTAACCCAAATTTTACAATAAGGCATTGTAAACACCCCACAAAAGAAAAAGAAAAAATTCAGACTTTTTCTTTGGTTCAAAGGGAGGGCTGAAAAAATTTATGTATGTTTTCCAGATTGTGGGGGGCCCACACCTCTAACCTGCACGTTGTGGAAGGGATAATTGTAGTAAGTTAGATGACAATGACAGTCATATACTAATGCTGAGTCATTTTGGATTGTAATTTTAAAAGTTTTGTTTCCTCGTGCTTGAATTCTTTCAAAATTAGCTGAACTTTTCCTTCTCTCCTCCCTCCACCTAAGGATCTGGAAAGAGAACAGAATCAATTATATAATGTTGACTGCTTTCCCAAACTTAAAAACAAAAGTACCACTTTCCAAGATGATTGTGTTCTCCTGATATTTAATTCTAACAGACATTTCAACCAGATTAGGGTAAAATTAGTCCATCAAAAGTACCATCAGCTCGAAGAACTAATCCATAGAAGTTTCACTGGAGTCTAAAATAGATGGTCGTAACATTGTGCTTAACATCATATGATTTGAAGGATTTTGAGAAGTATCTCTGCTCAAAATTCCATAAGGGATACATTTCTTTTAGTTCAATTAAGCATTGTATGCAAGGATCTAAGACAGCTCCAAAAGTCTCATGATGGAAAATGCTATCCACATCCAAAGAAAGAACTATGGAGTTTGAATGCAGATGGAAACATACTATTTGCCGTTTTTTTCTTCTGTTTTGTTTTATTTCCTCTTTCTTGTGGTTCCTTCTGTTGGTTTTAATTCTTCCTTACAACATGACTCATGTGAAAATATGTTTAATGGGAATGTATATGTATCGCCTATATCAGATTACATGCCATCTTGGGGAGGGAGGGGGAGAAAAATTTAAAACTCAAAAGTTCATGAAAATGACTGTTGATAAATCAAAATAAATTAATAAAAATAAATTAAGCATTGCACTGCCTTTTTATAAAATTCAAATCCTTCAATTTATGAAAAGTATTCTTTCCAAGAGCATATTTATATTCAAACAATTTTCCAATAACAACTCCTGAATTTAATGAAAATGTATACAGATGACACATTTTCACAACAGGCATTTTGCTTCCTTCATATCTCATATAAAATAAAGATGTTTCTGTCATTGTTACTCACATGTGAGGACAGTAGGCATTAGTGCAGCAAACATGAGGAACAACATGGAAAAGAAGAGGAAACCAGAGTTGCTCAAGACTTTCTTGGCCTCATTCCCAATTCCTAAATATAGCAAGCCTATGAGAAGTCCAATCCCAATGTGTGATGTGATCCTTAAATGTGTCAATACCTGAGGGAAAACACAAATTAGTCATGTTATTTTAAATTTTGTATTAAATTAATTGTACAATAAAAATAGATAACAATGAAAATGTATCAATAATTCACTGTACCATATAACATATTCTACTCCCTGATTATTATTGATATTTGCTTTCAACATTCAGCTTAGGTACCATTTCCTCTCTGATATCATCTGTTCTGGGTTGGACCTGACTCAGGCCAGCATTCTGGTACTTTAAGTTCCATACTGGAACAAAATGATGCACGTATGTCATTCAACAGTTAACTAAAGATTAACTTAGTTGCTTAGTCATATAGCAAGCAATAACAAGGGAATGCAACTTCAAGTTGATTCACCTGAGCAAAGGTATCTTAACTGAGTTGTTCGTTGTCAGCCACTAAGCATGACAATGTCTGCAGCTTCTTGTGACAGCTTTATACAGGCACTGTGCTAAGAACTAGGAATACAAAGAGGCAAAATACAGTCCTATCCTCAAAGCACTTACAATCTAATAGCAGCATTGTGGGTGCAGTTAAAGTTGTGTAACATAAATTTGCTGTAGACCCAGAAAGCGATGTCAACAGGCTGAGCCTTCAGTCCCTGAGCCAACCAGCTCTTAATACCTTTTAAGGAAAAACCATTCTAACTTGCATGAGGGCAGAGGTTATAATATTGCTCCTCCAGCACTCCTCCCCTTGGTGAAGCTCCTTAAGATCTTCTGCCTTTATATTAGAAGACTTCAATTTACATATTACTTATCTCAAACATCCTAACCTAACCTCTCATTTCTTCAAACTACTCACTTCTCATGACCTCCTCCACCTCACCTCAGCCACACACAAAGATGGTCATACTCTTGATCTTGCCATTACCCAAAAATGTAACACCCCCACCATGTTCAAGCATTCTGAAATCTCCTTATTTGACCACAGTGTATTGACTTTCTACTTCTCCCTCTGCCTTCCCTTACTTAATCCTACTCTTTGTCCACCTTGCAACATCCAGTCACTTTAAATTTCTTTTTTTTCTCTGAAATCATTTATTTCATAATTTCTTACAATGCAATAATATCCCATGACATTCATGTACAATTTGTTCAACCATTTCCTAATTGTCTAAAAGGCCATCAAAGGCACCCCTCCCCTTAGATTTTAATTCTTTTTTTTATTTTTAGTTTTCAACATTTACTTCCACAAGATTTTGAGCTCCAAATTTTCACCCCATCTTGCCCCTCCTCCACCCCAAGATGGCATGCATTCTGAATACCCCTTCCCCTAGTCTGCTTTCCCTGCTACCTCTCCCCCTCTTCCCCTTCTATTTTCCTATAGGGCAGGATAGATTTCTGTACCCCATTTCCTGTATTTCTTGTTTCCCAGTTGCATGTGAAAACATTTTTTTTTAAACATGTGTTTTTAAATCTTTGGGTTCCAAAATTTCTCCCTTCCTCTCTCCCCACCCTCATTGAAAAGGCAAGCAACTCAATATAGGCTATATATGTGCAGTTATGAAAAACACTTCCATAGTAGACATATGGTAAAAAACTAATTCTATTTCCATTAATCCCATCCTGCCCCCCCATTTATTCGATTCTTTCTTTTGACCCTGTCCCTCCTCAGAAGTATTTGCTTCTAATTACCCCCTTTCCCAATCTGCCCTCCTCTCCATCATCCCCCAACTCTCTTGTCCCCTTCCCCTCCTATTTTCCTGTAGGGTAAGATGGATTTCCATAACCAATTGAATGTGTATGTTATTCCCTCCTTAAGTCAAATCCTGTGAGAATAAGATTCACTCATTCCCTCTCACCTTCCCCCATTTGCCCTCCACTGTAAGATCCTTTTCTCTTCTGTTTTTTTTTGTGAGATAATTTACTCCATTCTATCTTTCCCTTTCTCCTTCTCCTAGTATAATCCTCTCTCACCCCTTAATTTTATTCTCCAGAGTTTTTAGTTTTTCTCTTCCTTCTTTAGTGCTGCCTATATCAATCATCTTGAATATCGGAGACCAGGGTCAGTCAGTAAGAGCCCTAAAGTCAATTATAACTAGTGGAAGATCCTTTAAAATGGTAGTGTCAAACTCAAATTAAAATAGGGGCCACTAAACCATATGTAAGGATCTCTGTTGGTCATGTATTGATTTAGAAAACCACATGTTAATGTTATCCTTGTTTTATTGTATTTTTATTCATTCTGTTAAATATTCCCCATTTCAATTTTAATGTAGTTCAGGCCATATTCTTGGGAGTGTTGCAGGACATATGACATGGGCCATGTATTTGACAACTCTCATCTAGAATGGTCAGTCAGCAAAAATTTGTTGTGTTTACTATGTTATAGGCACTGTGCTAAGAACTGAGAACACACAAGAGACAAAATACAGTCCTATTCTCAAGGAGCTTACAATCTAATAGCAGCATTGCAGACCCAGTTGAAGTTGTATAACATAAATTTGCAGTGGACCCAGTCAAAATGGTTGCATGATTTTTCTCCACCTTCATTCAGCTGCACATGTGTTGGAGCAAAGGTGGTAAATAGCAGGAGTAACCCAAAGCTAAGACTTGTCAGCATGTAATTAATGAAGTGTGTATACAACCTTCATCTTCAACTCACCCTGTGCCCTCTGTCTATCTATCTATTTATCCATCTATCTATATATATATACATATAATTTTTTCCCTCCAACTACCCTAATACTGACAAAGGTCTCATGAGTTACAAATATCATCTTTCCATGCAGGAATGTAAACAGTTCAACCTTAATAAGTCTCTTATGATTTCTTTTTCCTGTTTACCTCTTCATGTTCCACTTGAGCCTTGTATTGGAAAGTCAAATTTTCTATTCAGCTCTGGTCTTTTCATCAAGAATGCTTGAAAGTCCTCTATTTCATTGAATGACCATTTTTTCCCTGGCAGGATTATACTCAGTTTTGCTGGGTAGATGATTCTTGGTTGTAATCCTATCTTCTTTGCCCTCTGGAATATTATATTCCATGCCCCGCAGTCCCTTAATGTAGAAGCTGCTAAATCTTGTGTTATCCTGATTGTGTCTCCACAGTACTTGAATTGTTTCTTTCTGGCTCCTTGTAATATTTTCTCCTTGACCTGAGAACTCTGGAATTTGGCTACAATATTCCTAGGAGTTTTCCTTTGGGGATCTCTTTCAGGAGGAGATTGATGGATTCTTTCAATTTCTATTTTTCCCTCTGATTCTAAAGTATCAGGGCAGTTTTCCTTGATCATTTCTTGAAAGATGATGTCTAGGCTCTTTTTTTGATCATGGCTTTCAGACAGTCCAATAATTTTTAAATTCTCTCTCCTGGATCTATTTTCCAGGTCAGTTGTTTTTCCAACGAGATATTTCACATTGTTCTCTAATTTTTCATTCTTTTGGATTTGTTTTACTGGGTCTTGATTTCTCATAAAGTCACTAGCTTCCAATTGCTCTATTCTAATTTTTAAGGAAGTATTTTCTTCAGTAATCTTTTGGACTTCCTTTTCCATTTGTCCAATTTTGCTCTTTAGGGCATTCTTCTCTTCATTGGCTTTTTGGACCTCTTTTGTCATTCGGGTTAGGCTATTTTTTAAGGTGTTATTTTCTTCAGTATTTTTTTGAGTCTCCTTTAGCAAGCTGTTGACTTGCTTTTCATGATTTTCTTGCATCCTTCTCATTTCTCTTCCCAGTTTTTCCTCTACTTCTCTTACTTGCTTCTCAAAATCCCTTTTGAGCTCTTCCAAGGCCTGGGACTGATTCATATTTTTCTTGGAAGTTTTGGATGTAGGAGCTTTGACTTTGTTTTCTTCTTCTGGTTGTATGTTTTGATCTTCTTTGTCACCAAAGTAAGATAATATAGTCTGACTCTTTTTGTGCTGCTTGCTCATGATCCCAACCAATTACTTGAGTTATTTTAAACTCTTTGTTAAGGTAAGAGTCTGTTTCCAATGTGGACAATGTACTGTCCCAAGCTTCGGGGGTTTGTACAGCTGTTTTCAGAGATACTTCTAGGGACCTGAAAAGTGTCAGTTCTTCCAAGGTGCTATAATAAGGGGCGAGGTGTTTCCTCTCCACAGCCATGACAAGCTCCACCATGCCAGCATTCCCCCTTGCCCCAGGACCCCCTCAGAACTGTGACCCAGATCCAAGCATGGGCAAAGCAAGAGATTCCTGCCTCAGCCCTGGCAAAGTGATCCTTGCAATTCCCTTCTGATCAGCCACTCGATTCCCCCTCAGTCTGTGGGCCAGAAGCTCAGAAGGCAGCTGATGCCCTCAGGGTGGCTGAGACCTAGCTTCTTCTCTCACCACAGTCACAGACTTTTCCCACTGACCTTCTAAGTTGTCTTTGGCATTTGTGGGTTGAGAAGTCTGGAAACCGCCCCAGCTCCCTGCGATTCAGTCCTCTGAGGCCTGCTCCAAGGTTGCTGCAGCCTGCACACCCATGCCAAACTGCACTCCTCTCCCAGCCCGGCACGATATACCTTTCTGATCAGCCATCCAGGTTGTCTTAGGCTGGAAATTTGTTTCACTCTGTTTTTTTGTGGGTTCTGCTGCTTTAGAATTTGTTTAGAGCCATTTTTTATAGGTATTTGGAGGGGTTTGGGGGACAGCTCTAGCAAGTCAGTGCTTTCCCTCTGCCATCTTGGCTCCACCCCTTTAAATTTCAATTCTCTGCTAGGCAATCTCCTCTACACTAGCCACTCTCATCTTTTCCCCATCTTGATCCCTTAGTGAATCAATTCAACTCTACACTATCTTCTTCTCTTGATTTCCTAGCCCTAATCACTTCATTAATTACATGCTGACAAGTCTTAGCTTTGGGTTATATTTACCACCTTTGCTCCAACACATGTGCAGCTGAATGAAGGTGGAGAAAAATCATGCAACCATTTTGACTGGGTCCACTGCAAATTTATGTTATACAACTTCAACTGGGTTTGCAATGCTGCTATTAGATTGTAAACTCCTTGAGAGTAGGACTGCATTTTGTCTCTTGTGTGTTCTCAGTTCTTAGCACA